CTTAAAATACATCATACACACAAATACACGTCACAGTTTTAGATTCTGTGGGAAAGTATCTATAATATGATGACATTAACAACTATTTTAGCCCAAGCATATGTATCACTAACGACATCTGAAAATAGTGTACAACGAAAAAAATGCCATTTTAGCATTTTACCAATTCACTGTTCCAAATGTGATTAGGATTATTTATTCAAATAACGTATAGCTACATGCGAAGTTCAATTACAAAACCATTGGGTGTCTGCTCTTTGTCAAAACACCAATCATCATTCCGAAAAGACTCCCATAGTGACCCATATATTCGTTATCGAAACATAAAAACTCTGGACCGAACCTCAACGTTGGATAGCGTTGCAAAATCACGGTTCTTTTCGCGTCAGGCGAGATACCTGTCACATCACATGTATTTCACACTCAGCTACGATACATACATTCCTGAATTCATCATACCATTAGGCCTAACAATCAATTGAGATTTTGTCTAAGTCACTAATACAAACGGTCCAAATGAAATCAACCGCAATATTCAAGTGTGAAACCAAACCCTGTGCTCTGAAACCTACCAGTGGGCCTTCTCATTTAAAATGTAAACAAAGCAAACTTCTAGTTTTGCTTAACATTTTCTACTATTCCGAGAGATTCGGTCGTCAATTTGTTGCATACATTAGCTCAGATTATTACGAATATGCATGGGTCGATAATCGTTGCAAGAATTGAGGAATTAATAATTAGAGTCCAGATACTTATTTGGAAAAGTCAACAGAAATCGTTCAACGTGCCGCCATGATTGACGCAAAATCACGCACACTGACGACGGTATTGGTCTGCCTTTCCACGTAGTATCAAGGCGAGAATGGAAACGTAAAAACAAATAGAACTAAATTGATTTCAGATTGATTCTGATTACTTAACTTACATGACTCATTTATGTATAGATCCCAGCATCACGGTAAAACCTACTCCAAACATTCCGGAACTGCTATCACTGAACTCGCTATGTTATGACGGGAGGTTACCGGTAGTGATGTCATATTAGTATACGTCAGCATCAACATCGTTGTACAAATTTGTTATTTTCTTCGAGGTGCGGGTGAACTAGTACGCAACTCATTCAGTTCATGAAGTAGTTTACTGTTTCAATCTTGAATTATAATTTGAATATCTCTTCAAAATCGTTTCACCCACTAAAATAATGTACTGCTGCAAAATGGGTACATGTATGCAGTACTGTTACTTATATAATCTAACATGCCATAGAATTTATGAAACTCATAATAATCAGCTGAAGAAATTGACATTCATCGTGTTATTCTTCCCACAAGATGCTATGTGAATGTAACACACTGCAACATATACATATTTCCTTTGGAGAATTGTGAAATATGCATTGTGGCAAATTTATATAGATAGGTTAAATAAAACATGCACTTCATTTCTTAAATTAAAGTAAATGTATACCTGAAGGAAATTCGTCACGTTATATTTTTATTAATGTATAACTCATGTTTGGACAACTACTTGACTTACATTTGAATTTTATCGTTTAATTGGCGGAACATTGACAGCTAAAGATTGCATCAGGTGCGCGCTTCAAAATAGGGGCCGACCATTTGAGATTCCAGGGTGGAGGTGGGTCATGGTCTGTTGGGGTTTGGGTGTGCGTTGCCCAATAAAGCCCAACATTCTGTTCTTTTAATCGAAATTTTCTATACTATAACCGAATATGAGTGGTAATATACTGTTACTTTTTTGTGTTACCGATTTCAACGTTTCTTATAAATTCGGAAATAAGCTAAAAGTATCTGTTTCAACTGGCCAAAGGGAACTTTCAGGATTTATATAGTTCATTCTTCTATATTATAACAAAATCTGAAATATGTCTTCAGGACATTTTGGATGACAATCATTCAATGTCCCAGAAAAGGAACCGATGCGGTTATTAAAATCGATAGCTGTGTGAGAACTTTGTAGATACACATAAACAAAAAGATACTAGAATGTATTGTCCTGAGCCAAAGCAGATGCTCACCACGGACATGCATGACGGAAACTGGGTATTGCTATGACTAGGTGAAGAATTGGGGAGTTATGCCCCTTTTTGTCTTTGTACATGTGGACATTGCCCTCGTGTTTTGACGTCATGTAACGGAAAATTTGTTTTCGCCACATAAAACAAGTACGTTTTCGTATCGAATGTGTCACGTTATACATTTAATTTTCCATCATGGGGTTAAAAATTCAATAATATACAAGTACGTTAAATTGCAAAGTCAGAGGTTGGTCCAGTACCGCGCGACCGCAATTCTCGCACAGCGTTGATTTTTCAAAGCGATGCGTCTGAACATTAACTCGGCAACCAAGATTCCAGCGATAATGTAGTGAATCACAAGTTTTTTGTCAGAGATCTCGTGAGACCCGAGTTGTATGCAACTCGCCGCCGTGTGAATGCCCAGTTGTATACAACTTCAGTTCGTGCAACTAATTGCATACAACTAGTTGTACCATGTGAATGCCCCTTTAAAGGTCAAACGATAGGTATGGTTAGCAGTTCTTAACCGTCTGGAGCAGGTGGTATCTTTCCTCTCCAAACGATAGGACGTACTTTGGTTGCTCGTCATGATAGCGATGCGTGTCTGATGAACGTCTGTACTCTAAGAGGGACTGAACGTCTGATGGATGGACAACCCTTCCCCAAAACAGGATCGAAATCGGACCAATCCGAAGCCTGGATTGTCGACCAATCAGAAGACAGCAACGACCAATCAGAAGACAGCACCCGAGCCGAGTTGTGCTTTCTCTCCCATGGTAAAATCCATTTCCTGTGGAAAAGAAACACAAGGGTCGGGTCGTTTTAGAAAACCGAGGTGCAGACCAGGCACCGGAACGAACCAATCCGTGCGTTGCGTTTTGGACCAACCAGGAAGCAGCCAATTTCGATCCGGTTCTTCCCCTATAAAACAACAGTGGATTCGAGTGGGTCAGTGTCACTTGTAAAATTGATGTGATAAAATCAAGAATGACTGAAACAAAGAAGAGTGGTACGACGACGTGTGGCGAAGATGTGGTGATGGATAGTACAGATACTCGTTGATGTTGGAGTAAGAGTCATGCCGAGGATGCTGTTTCACTGCTCAGTCAAACGCCATCGCACTATTATCTACGCTTTGAAAGAAGGCTCGCTTCGTTTGAGGCGTGGCCCACGCAAATGTATCAGACTGCTGAAGAGATGGCCCATGCGGGCTTTGTCTACACTCAGGGTGCCGATGGTGTGTGCTGTTTCCAATGTGGGGTGCGGCTGAGACAAGGGCATGGGATGTCACTTTCAAGTGCGTGTACTGCGGCACTGTCCTGAAGGACACCTACGTGCGTCGGTTAACGCACCCCTTTGCTTTGACGACCCTCCAACACACCGTGAACCCACCCCCACCTCCTCCCTCCCTCCCTCCCTCCCTCCCTTCACCACCACCACCACCACCACCACCACGTCTATGTGTAGAACAACAACAACCACAACAACAACAACAAAAGATTTTTGACGCGCTTCTTTCAATGTCGATCCTGTTCCCCCTTTTACGGGCGCTTCTCCGGGTTTTCCCCTCCTCCCCGGAAACGGAGGTGCCGCCCTCTTGAATGCGTACGCCACCGTAAACGGATGCGACGCCATCTTGAATGCGCACGCCACCGGAAACGGATGTGCCGCCCTCTTGGAGGCGCGCGCAGGTACCTATCATGCACTGCGCAGGTCACGTGACCGGAAACGGATGTGCCGCCATCTTGGTCCTGTAATCCTGAGCTGGTCCCAGAATCCTGAGGGGGTCCAGGGCCGATGTAGACAACTACTCGTGGGTTTCACCGATGTGGTAAACGTCTGAGACCTGCATCACTTCGGGCTTTCCTCCAAACAGTAAGCTGACATTCTAACTGGAATACTGTTAAAAGCGGCGTTAAGCCCTACTCACTCACTCACTCACTCACTCACTCCGATATCCCTTTGGAGACAAAAATGAGCACGGGCATACTTTTGTAGTTTGTTGTTTAACGCCGCAATCAACAAAATTCCAGCTATATGACGGCGGTCTGTAAATAATCAAGTCTGGACCAGAGAAACCAGTGATTGACGTCATGAGCATCGATCCACGTAATTGGGATACGATGACATGCATCAACCAAGTCCGCGAGCCTGTGACCACCCGATCCCGTTAGTCACACGGGCATACTGCTGACAGTGTTCATAGAGGGGACAACTATGGGAAATGAACCTATGACCAAAGACGTCCTCACCTTCACTATGTTTCGATGAACAAAGGGGCACGGGTGGCCCAGTCGTCTGAGGCACCGCGATTCGCTGTGCAGAGTTGCGTCCCTTGGGCATGCCAGAAACCTATGATTGTGAGTTCGAATCCCGGTTCGCACCGATTATGTTTCTAGGTTTGACAGCACCATACCCGTGCTCACGGGTTTCACCGAAGTGGTATAACTGGAATACTGTTAAAAGCGGCGTTAAACCCAACTCACCCACTCGATGAACAATGGTGTGAAAATGGTTTAAACACACCCCCCTCCCTCCGGTGTTTTGTTAACTAGTTTGGAGCTATGTGACACAAACAATTTTTGTTTAATTTCTTCGTAACATCATTATTAGTTATAGTGTTGTGGTTAGGGTTAATGTATTTCTCATAATGAGACCTGGGTTTGATTCTCTGTTTGGTCCAAATTTAAACACAATTCTTGTTGTCTTGCTGCATAACGTTAAAATCTTTCGTTATGTGTCAATGGTGATTCTTGTGATTATTGTTCTACATCTTTTATCAATAGTACAGTCCATCTCGGAGTCGGACACCATATGGTCTTAACATATTTTGTCCATTTGAATCGAATCCGGTTCTTCCGTGGGAGGCTATATCCACCAGGCTACGCAACCGACCGTAGTTATCATTTTTATCACAAGGAATCGTATTTATTCTCTCATTTTATTAATGTTTTGTCTTCAGGTAGACGCAACATCAACATGGCAGTGTCGGGATTGTCTGATGGCGTCAGAACCTTCAACAAAGGCACAAAGCTTGGAGTGGTTATTGCACGAGAACGCGCACGGCTAAGCGAGAGAATAACCGAGTAGGTTGAAAACGCCAGTATACCAGTGAGACTGGCGCATACCTGTATAAAGGGCGGAGTGGGTAGCCGAGTGATTACAGCGTTTGCTTCTCGCGCCGAAGCCTGGAGTTCCAATCCCACATAAGTACACTATATTAAGCCCTGTGTTTCCCCCACCAAGGCTCGAACAGTGGAGAGAAAAGAGATACTCAATGTATGAGACATTTTCCTTTTTTCAAGAATTTACTAATCGTAAGCATCATCATTACTAATCTTAAAGTTTGAGTCAATTGGATATAATTTCGGAAGTTTTTTTTCTTATGAGTCAGTCCCCAATATACACAGGCCCTCGACAGCAGAGTGAGGGGGGTATCCAAGTAGAGGGGAGGTGAAATTGTATTTAGTTGGTTGGTTTTTTCGGGGATTTTATGTGCGCTTTCCGCATGTAATAAAAATTACACTATAGCGTATCTCGCACACGGGGAAGCACCTGTACTAAATAGGAAAAAAAGCGTAATAAATAAATAAAGGTGCCACCCAAAAAAATGTAAATGAAGTAAAACCTATCAAAATTTAAACTAGGGGGGTGAGTTTGGTTGGGGGGGCGGGGGATGTAAAAAAGTAATAATAAGGTGGTAAAGTTGGGTATGGGGGGGGGGGGGGGGTCAAGCGTGGGAAGGCACGGCGTCGGCTGGCGAGCTGGAGTGGCGAGGAAGCTACTGTTTGTGCCCAGCTAGGAGCCTCCTGGCTAGGTCAACAGTGAGTTGGTGAGGCGGGCGGCGGCGTTGGTGCTGAAGAGCGGTGGGACTGGGAGTTCACAGTCGACCAGGAAGTCCGAGAGATCCTGGAAGCTGTGAATCTCCTGCTCAAACCGCTCCTGACCCCAGAACTGCACCAGCACCAAGGGTGGGCGTGGGCGGTTGCTGGGATACAGTCTGCCGTTGTCATGCTGGTAGCAGGGGTTAGGGAGGACCTCGTGCTGTTCCAGGATGTGCTGTGCCTGTTGTGCAAGGTGGAGACGGTCGTCAACCTCACTCTCTTGTTCCGGGACTGGTTCAGTCTGGACTTGGCTGGAGTTGAGGGACGGGCCTGGTGGTGTGGCGGTCTGGGTCTCCGAGTTCCTGCTTGGTGGTGATGGAAGAAGGGGAGAGTCGGGGGAGAAGATGCTTTTCCTCTTTCTTTTCTTTCTTCCGTGTCCTGTCCCTTCCGGCGTGCGAAAGGGCTCCTCCCCTTCTGGATTCGAGGGGAGCGAGTTCCAGTGCCACTGAAGGGGGTGGAGGGGTGGTGGGAAGGCTCTCCTGGATCTCCATGGGGGCGACTGGTGGAGCCTTCTTCACTGTGGGCGGCCTGGCCTTCTGTACCGGGCGTGGTGCAGCAGGGGCAGGGGCCGGGGTCTTCTTCTCCTTAGGCTTGGTCTTGGCCGGAGCTTTGACCAGAGGCCTTTTCCTTTGACCTAAGTCGAAGGAGATGGAGAGGGTGGAGGAGTTGGACTTGTACGAAGTCCGTAGGGAGTAGTCCCCGACCCTGTAAGCCAGCAAGGGCTCCAGGATGGCGACTAGCTCCCTAGGTAGAGATAGAGCGATATCCCTCATGGTGATAGCTTGGGTTGCGAGCAAGGAAGGACACGTCTGCACGAGGCGAGTGTCCAAGCCGAGATGGGAATGGTGTTTAACATCGCGTTCAAGATTTATAGGGGCGGTCGGGTAGCCTAGTGGTTAAAGCGTTCGCTCGTCACGCCGAAGACCCGGGTTCGATTCCCGACATGGGTACAATGTGTGAAGCCCATTTCTGGTGTCCCCCGCCGTGATATTGCTGGAATATTGCTAAAAGCGGCGTAAAACCATACTCACTCACTCACTCCATCTGTTCACCTCTCCATCGCAGCAACCATATACAGAGCGCTCGACAGCTTTCGGTAACAACCGAATCAAACTCATAACGACAATATTTTACCAGAAATCCTTGTTATAGCTGTTATGTACTTTTCAGTGATTGTGCGGCCAAACTCAAGTATCGACCGATAGATGGCGTGTGCAACAACGTGGATAATCCTATTTGGGGTGCGCCTCTGCAAGCTATGAGGCGACTTCTTCCCGCCAAGTATGATGACAGTAAGTATCATGATAACTCTACCCCGACTACGTGTTTATGGGTCATGTGTATGAATCTTAATCCTGATTTGTTGAATCTAAAGACCACACGATTACAGAACAGCATCCAGATTATGAACTTACAAGCCAACTTCTTCTATAACGAAATCGGATATAACGAATAGTCGACTATACTAATCGACTACTTTGATAATCCCCGACATGAGATAATCAACGGTATCAACGAACCATCCACTATAATAATCCCCTACGTGTGATAATCAACGCTATTTATCCTTAATGAAATGCATAATCTGCTTTCGAAATAGGAAAAGGCCTTCCTACAAAGATGAAAAGGCAATAAAGCCAAACTATTTAAGTATATAAAACGTAAGAGATAAAGGTAAAGCAACTTCCAAATGTATAGTGATTCTTTACGAAAACGATGCTATATTACAACGCCTCATCATTGTAGGGACCGCCTCCGTGGTCTATTGGTAGAGCGTCCGCCCAGAGAGTGGAAAGTCAGGGGTTCGATCCCCGGCCGCGTCATACAGAAATACGTTAAAAGATGGTACTTGTTGTTACCCTGTCTGGCGCTAGGGACTGGTCGGCTCGGTGTCAGTATACTCTGTCTGAGTGGGGTATTCATGTTAAACTGGGGCATGGTATCTCAGTGGGCTAGCACTATAAATCGGCATCAGTCCGGACCAGTACAAGCAGCCACACACACACACACACACACACACACACACACACACACACACACGTACGTGCATGCACATCGATATATAAGTGCAATTATCTTGGACGTGACGTTAAACCCCATTTCACTTCACCTCATCACTGTAGATAACGGCAGTCCTCGCTTGTACGGCGGAGGCAAGAACCCTCTGCCCAGTGCCAGGAAGGTCAGCACGGAGTGCTTCCCCTTTGATAGCATGGATACTGAGGACAGGCCCTTCTCCCAGATGGTGATGCAGTGGGGGCAGTTCCTGGACCACGACATCTCGGGCACGCCTATGACTGGGGGTGAGTACTCTATATGTGTGTCGAGCATAGGACTCCGCAGTACTTAATTGCTTCCCGAGGCGACTAAGTTGGGTCGGTGGCCAAGGTTGGTGACTTGGTAATCGTGCCCTGACTATGGAATCCTAGAAGGGACATTGTCGCCCTTTGGTAAAATAATAATGGTTATTCAAAGCGCGACAATACGACACACTGTTGCGTTGTCGATTTGTCGCTCTTTGATTAATTTTGACACTTTGTGCTTTTTTTTGTAAGGATGACAACGCGACAGTTACCATACCTAACAGCGGCACATATCGACCACATGTTTGTCAGACTCTAATTGTCACATACCGCCGTGATATAGGGGGAATTTTCCCTACTGAGATGTAACACAACAAACAAATAAACGGTCAAACAGTAGAGATGGTTGATTTAACTTCTACAGCGAATTGGCATTAAAAATTCAGAAATATGTAACATGTACCGTATTTCCTCTATTTTACACCGGACCTGTACTATACGCTGGAGCTTGGTCATACTTTGTGTCCAAAGCCTCTATAAGACGCCGTGTCTCTAATGAAGGCCTGGTCAATCATTTGATGAAATTAATTAATGTCGAAAATAACAGTTCCCTATTTTATACTGTGATGTGTTGGTGATTAACAATGTCCGTTTCCTGCAAATGTACCCTTGGTATGTCTGTAGAATGTGGGATTCGGCAAGGCAGTGAGCTGCAAGTATTAAACAGAATAGACGCCGGGTCAACGACGAAATTTCCACCCCCGAGCAGTTTAATAGAGGAAATGCCGTAATTCGTTATGATTCATTCCTCCACCCACACAGCTCTTTGTTACCTACGTGCTTTGCCAGCGAAGTGGTATCGGAACCATGGTATCAGTACTCGGCGATACTCAATCAGTCCAGTCACTGTGCCTGACCACCCGAACATCTTCAGCTAGCGTTGAGCACAAACATGAGTGACTGCGAATCGCAATACCCACGGATCTGTCTCCCCAGCATCCTCACTTAATTAATTTCCCCGTGAATATCCGGGTTAGAATTGGTCTTCAGCAACATATGCTTGTCGTAAGAGGCGATTTGGTCAGGCTTGCTGACTTTGTTAATGCATGTCATCCCCATCCCAATTGCGATGCCCATGATGTCAATCACTGGATTGTCTGGTCCAGACTCGATTATTTACAGACCGCCATCATAGAGTTGGAATATTGCTGAATGCGGCGTTAAACAACAAACAAAGTACGTATTTGAAAACCAGATAATTAACCTGTCTCATGCTGTTTTTATGTCTCCTGACAGAGAAAGGCTGTTGTCCCGGATTGGCTGCGAATGGTGTCCATCCAGACTCCAGTTCCGAGTGAGTACCTACAGTTGTGTCCCCATCCTCCTCGATGAGAAAGTCCCGTGAAGATCCGGGTTAGAATTGGTCTTCAGCAACCCATGCTTGTCGTAAGAAGCGACTAACGGGATTGGGTGGTCAGGCTCGCTGACTTGGTTGATGCATGTCATCGATCCCAATTACGTCATGATGTCAATGACTGGATTGTCTGGTCCACACTTGATTATTTACAGACCGCCGTCATATAGCTGGAATATTGTTGAGTGCGGCGTACAAACAAAAGAAACAAATCGATTATCCAGCTTGTCGAACTGTTGAGTGAGAGAAGGGTACTGAAAGTGGCAAGTAGTAACAATTCCGAAGGGAACAGAATGGAGATATTATACACTGGATAATCGAGGATATATCCTCATCAGTCTCAGCGACAAGCAATCCACATCGAGGACATGGGTATTTAGGAAGTGGGCGGGTGAGTTGTGTTTAACGCCGCTTTTAACAGTATCTCAGTTATATCACGGCGTGTCAGCATAACGTGGGAGGAAAGCCCGAAGTGATGCAGGTCTCAGACGTTTACCACTTCAGTGAAACCCACGAGCACGGATATGGTGCTGACAAACCTAGAAACATAATCGGGGCGAACCGGGATTCGAACCCACAATCATAGGTTTCTGGCGTGCCCATGTGACGCAACTCTGCACAGCGAATTTCGGCGCCTTAGGTGACTTGGCCTACCGTTCCCCCTATTTAGGAAGGGAACCATTTATAGTATTGTCTATTTCTTAGTACAGTATTGTCTTAGCTCTAATGGGTTTGTTCAAAAAGAAAGCGACGTAAATAACCTTCTCACTCACTCACTCACTTACTTACTCTTGATTACAGAGGTCCATGTTTCCCTATCCCGATTCCGCCCGGAGACAGACATTTCAGGAACTGCATGGAGTTTAGTCGGTCCTTACCTGTCGATGAGTCATCTGGTAAATATAAGCCACAGAACTCTTTCCATGATCATCAGAAGGCCATTGTATGATAACAACTATATCATGAGCTCTGTCACTATCACTATAAATCACTATCAAATAGTGATGACACCAGGTGTTCGCGAATAGGTGAGCGTATCCCATCCCACCGGTAGTATCCGTCACACACACATGCAAAGGCAAGGCAAAAGTTTATGTGGACAAACACAAAATATGGAATTACATATGACATCATCAAATTTGTAAATGTCTTTCACATGTGTACAAGGAAGAGTGTCTGAACCATCATAAATAATACTGATGCTGAGTACCGCGCTCGTAAATGCGCGAATGCGTCATTTCTATTGCGTGAATTTGTTTGTTTAAAGCCGCACTCAGCAAAATTCCAGCTATATCACACAGGCCTCTAAATAACAAAAGTTGGTATGGAACTTGAAGACTTGTAGACTAACACATTGTCCCCGAAAAAAAATATATATAAGGTAAATACAAATAATCGTACAAAGGCACCCTCAAATTTGTAAATTTCCTTGAACGGAGATGGAGGTGAGAATGGATTGGGAATGATAAGATAAATTTATAGATTCTTACCAAGTCTAATCTATATCAGCACAAGTCACCTTTGATAATCGGGCATATATGTCAAAAGTGATAAGGTCAATTTTACACAATAGTGACTACATTAAATTTGGCTCTTGTTCCAAGAGAGTACTAATTCAATAGTCAGGTAAAATGATGAGAATTTAGGTTACAATGAATGTCATACATACCAACAGTTAAGCACAAAAACTGAAAGGGTTTCTAGTGGAACGTGTTCATAACGATTAAATGTGTGATGTTCACAGAGGGTTGTCACCGGGAACAGATGAACTCCCTCACCGCCTACATAGACTCCAGCCACGTGTATGGAGGCTCGGATGAAGAGACGGCCATGCTGAGAACTCACACCGGGGGTACGTATAGAAATATAGAACTATATACGCCTTGAAAAGATTAAGCGCCCCTTAGCTCTTTTAGCCATGTTTGTTTGTTTGTTTGTTTGTTTGTTTGTTGTTTAACGCCGCACTCAGCAATATTTCAGCTATATGACGGCGGTCTGTAAATTATCGAGTCTGGACCAGACAATCCAGTGATTAATACCATGAGCATCGATCAACGCAATTGGGATCGATGACATGCATCAACCAAGTCAGCGAGCCTGTCCACCCGATCCCGTTAGTCGCCTTTTACGACAAGCATAGTCGCCTTCTACGGCAAGCATGGGTTGCTGAAAACCTATTCTAATCTTCACGGGTCTCTTTTGGCCATGAAGACTTCTCCCCAGGAGCTGACGCCTGTGCGTGCCTGTCACCCAACAGATTCTCCTGCACAGTGGCCATGTTGTAGTCATGGAACCAGCAACCCTACATCATGACTGATCCATCACGAAGGAGGACTGGGAGACGAATGTTCCTGGGCATCTGTGCCATTTTTCTTTGCCTCCAGGCAAGATTTTGCCCGTCTGTGGCGCTACAAGAATCTGCGCTCATTGGATCACATAATAGGGCACATGACCAACCTTCTTGACCTCAAACCTGATAATTTGAGTCAAATTATCAATGTCCGCCATGACAATTGTTTGTCGTTCATCTACTTCTCCTTCAGAAAAGTGCATGTGTGGAGGCGTTGTCGCCTAACCAAGCAGAGCAGGGCCCCGTTCCACAAAGCGATCTTAGCGCTACGATTGTAGTAAGTCAGTGTTAAAGAATGGGAGTTACGATCGACTTAGCGCTAAGATCACTTTGTGGAACAGGGCCCAGGTCACGATCTTCGCATGCTGGCGTCACATGAAACGGTCCCGACCTTGAACGGTTCTCAATGCCATGACGTTTCCGTGCCCGTTTGCTTGTAACCGACCTGACGACAAAAAGCTCATTCCTTCATTAATCATGTCTATTATTCGCCAAATTTTGGGCATCAGATACTCTCCCACGAGCCATGTTGAACAAGAATTAACACTACAGTTCGGAATAATTTCAAACTATGCTTGAATTTAGCAGTCGCGAGTGGCTTACACACCAGAGCCGCTAGCAATCACTCACATCTTAGCTGTCCATACCAGTTCGGGTAATTACCATGCTGATATTACAAATTACATTCGAGGAGGTCGAGCGACAGTGAATAACTTTTTCAGGCGGCGGTTACAGTTTTTTCATATACACATAGTGGGTGAGTGTTTGTTGCATTCTTCACCATAGTCAAGACTATTACGGCCTCAAGCAATGCTTTATCAACGTCAATTCTGTGGTCATGTTACCAGCCTCTGAATGAAAAAAATATATATCTTGTTAACATAAAACGTTACTGTGATGTATCAACAGGGCTGATGAAGACGACTGGAAACGGCGACTTCCTTCCGCATACCAACCAGACCACCTGTGTGAAACGCAACGGACATTCCTGCTACGATGCTGGTAAATGCATTCAATTGTACGATTCCGACTCTATAAGAATCATGTGTTGATAGAATCACTACCAAATAGTGATGATACCAGGTGTTTGCTAAAGGGTGAAGTTAAGGGAGAAAATGTTATTTTCGTAATCTCCTCTTTCATTTCTTAAAATTTGATATCATATTGAGGTCTTAATCTACCTTGCAATGCTATGGCTAGCGAAGGATACATAAAATACGATAGAAATAATCACTCCAAAGCAGGGAAACCCTGTATCTACATGTATTTATACAATCGTGTGTAGTTACTGATATGTACAGGTTTGTGAAAAGGAAAGTTATTTGAAAGGAGTTAATTTTGTCAACGTTCTAAAATAAATGTCGTTGACATACACCCAGAGGGGATCAGATTCAAAGGAAATGTAATATGACCTTTGCGTGTACTTGGAACATGAGTTTGCGTTCAAGCGGGTACCAAATTATGCACTAATACAAGTCGTGTTTTGTTGTTGCAATATTCTGTTACACAATAAAAGAGCACCTGCAAATAGACTATACTCCAACGTAGAAGGGTCCGACTAGTGACATTCAGGTGTTTGGGGGATTTGTTTTGAAGAAGATAATTTGTTTAAAAAAATAATAATTCGTTGGATATACTTGATGCTCTCATGTTTAATTCTTGTCTTTCAAACACCACTTCGTATGTTTGTATACTAGTGATAGATGTGGACGTATAATATTCCATACAACAGTAACTTACCCCTATATCGTAGAGACGGTGCCTTCATGCATGCCACCAGCCACATCATATTCACTTACAGGGCGCTTAAACGTCCTAAGATTCAAATCACTCTGCAGATGCTACTACTACTACTACTACTACTACTACTACTACTACTACTAAACATAATAATAATAATAATAATAATAATAATAATAATAATAATAATAATAATTATGTGCAACTTGTGACCTTTAGTTATGCCAGAATCCGATGATCATGGGTTCGAATCCCTGATTGGCTCTGATCATGATTATTGGATAGTCAGCACCATACCCGTATGGACCCGTTAAACTGACATGCGTGATATAATTGAAATATTGTTCAAACGTTGAACCCAACTATTCCCTCTTTTGTCCATGTATTTTTCAGGTGACGTCCGGGTAAACGTGTTCCCAGGTCTGACTGCCATGCACACCCTGTGGGTGAAGGAGCACAACAGAATTGCCACCAAGCTAGCCAAATTAAACAGTTGGGACGACGAGAAACTGTTTCAGGTAGCCCGTAAGATTGTCATTGGAAGTATGCAGCACATAACCTACAACAACTGGCTGAAGAAAGTCCTCGGTGATAATGTCTACCAACTCTTCGACCTGGCCAAGACATATCAATACAACGCATCTTTAAACCCCGGCGTCTTCAACAGCTTTGCTACGGCTGCGTTCAGGTTTGGTCACTCTCAGATCGCTGGACACTACAGGGTAAAGAAAAACCCCAAGCTGGATATAGCGAAGATGTACATGGACACCTCGTATGTCACAGAGAGCTTTGAAAATGTCATGTATGGAATCATTGATGGTGTCAGCCAAAAGGTTGATGAAGCGTTTTCTACAGGTAGGGACACAGAAGGAACAGTTAGCTGTCTTAAGTAACGAGTCATTGAGTTGGCTTAAAAGCCACTTTTAGTTGTTAAATTCATGTACCAAAGCGTGGAGGCAGTAGATGATTGCAGTTTGCCAAACACAAGCAAGGGTGTGGTTCTGGGACGGTTTGGCAATCTTCTCCGATTAATGCGAATATTTAATATATAATATAATATTTTATATCAGTGTGCGATGACATGGCTCACGTCATCAGAGCCTATCAAAAATAAAATATATTCAGAAGTAGAATGACAGGCATGAGGTACGTAGAGGTGAGGTGAAATGGGGCTTAACATCGCGTTCAAGATTATTGCACTTACCTGTATATAGCGACGTGCCTTGGCGAGTTTAATAATACAGGATATTATTCGTTAATAATACAGGATATTTACCTCCCAAAAACACACAAGTCTGATAACCTATTTATCATATAATGTCATTCTTTACTTCTGTCTTCGAAAATCTGTTGTCATCGCTCATCGCAAGTTTTCCTGGAATGTGCGTATTAATATGAATTGTAAGATCAGTGATTTGTCAGTCGGACAGTGCCAACAGTCAGTATAGTTCTAACTGAAACCTGTTTCTTGGACAGTGGCGTGACTACATATAGGCAAAATAATAAATGCCTACACATATTGTTTCTAATTCCCTTTCGCGGCAACCCATCGTTCCGCCCGCTAGAGTAACTGCCCTTTATGAAATGTCTTGGAGTCTGCCTGTTCTTTCATAACGTTACGAAGTGCAGAGTCCGATGTACACATAGCGATAAATGAAACACTAACATTTCGGATGTATTTCGGCCAACTGAAACTGTTTTTAATTGGGGAAAAGCCCCAAGTCACAGAGGTCTACAAATACAGATCGATATGGAAACTGATCACGCCAGGCGAGGCTTAGTGTCCTCCTAAACTGTTGATAAATTATATCTCCAAAATTACCAAAACTTGACAAAATCTCCCTGCTACATCCCAATTAGACACATAAATTCGGTATCCTTGACTATTGCTTTGTATATTACAACGATTATCCCAATAGTTCTCCAGATTCCCAATAGTAAATTCTGACTCGATCACCGATTGACAAGGGCGACGCCATGTTTGTAAACACTAAACGTAGTAACTGTAACTGTATGCTGTACACATGTCTGGATAGCCATAGCCAACTCAGGTTAAAGCATCAACGTTTATTAGAACTTGCATGGCTGACATACGCCAAGGGAAGCAACTCTTGTCACAAGAGTGCATACCACGTAACATCTCCCTTCCTTTGAGGAAAACAAATAAAGTAATTAAACCTTTAACTACAGGTACATTAATCCAAGAAATGAGTGACATTACCGAGTCGGTCCATATACTGGGATACAGTATGCAGTTCACTATAACATTCCGTTAAAGCACTTTCCCATAATTCCTGAATTAAAGTTCGCTGTCAACTTGCAATGACAAAATTATTAGTTTTAACTAAACAACATCAGAAACACATTATTATTCCAGTCTTTGGAAAACTGTTAAAGAACACATCCAAGAAATACAAATCAAGCCGTTTAACTGGCTTAACTACTCTCCCAGACTTTGTCTTGAACATGTCAGATTTTGGAGATGAGGTATTCTTTGGAACATCTCTTGTTGGAATGACAGAATCAGTCTGAGTATTAGAGAGGTTAGCACTAGACTGAACACATTGCTTATCCTGGATAAGTTCATCATCTCTAGATCTTCTTGGCGACTGGCAGTTTGGGAATGTTGGAATCTCAAGATTAACATCATCCTCAACTCTAGACTTTCTGGCAAGACGAAGTTGTTGTCTATTCCGTTTGAAACAGTGACAATTATCAGATCTCACAGAGTAGGTTCTTGGCTTGATCTCATCTGTCACAGTAGCTTCATTCCATTCCTTCCTGACGGTTTGAATGGATTGCATTCTGACAGTATCACCAACCCGTAAGGGTTTGAGTGGTCTTCCAGAGTACTTCCGGTTATGTCTCTCAACTACAAGCATCCTTTTGTCTTCAAGTTGTTGCTTGTCATCCGGACCAGAATCATGTTGAATAGTCTTTAACGTACAAGGAACCTGAGTACGTGTTCGGCGACCAAATAGTCTTTGAGCTGGACTTGTTTGTACGCCTTCAGTCGGTGTATTTCTCACATTCAACAATCCCAGGTAAGGATCCTCTTTAGCAGCTAGACATTTCTTCATCATCCTTTTAGCTACTTTAACGGCAGCTTCGGCAGCACCATTAGCTTTACTGTTACCAGGGCTGGAAGTTTCATGAGAGAAACCCCAAGACTGACAGAACTTCTTGAACTTCTCACTGGTATACTGAGGTCCTCCGTCACTGATGACGACTTTAGGTATACCATGACGAGCAAAGTGGTGCTTCAACTTGGTAACCACAACATCAGAAGTGGTTTCAGGCAGAAAGTCAATTTCAAAGAAATTGCTGTAGTTGTCAGTAGTCACAAGGTAATTCCTACCTTCAATGGTGAAAATATCAGTTCCCACCTTTTCCCAGGGATGATCAGGAATCTCATGCATAATCAGAGGTTCTGGTGATTGCTTATCACTGAAACGAACACAAATATCACATGACTTGATATACTGTCTTATGTCACTTGACATCAAGGGCCAGAACACAAGTGTCTTTGCACGTCGTAGACAAGAGTTTATCCCCATGTGACCAACATGAAGTTTTCTCTTGATCTCATCTCTCAATGCAAGTGGGATGACAACTCTAGGTCCTCGAAGAATTATCCCATCTTTAATGGTGAGTTCGTCTCTGTAACTGAAGTAAGGAGTAAGCTCAGAGGACAGATTCTCCTTATGTGTTGGCCATCCTTCCATTATAGTTGATTTCAACTTGGTGAGGGTTTCATCAGATGCAGTTGCAACTCTAATGTCATTCATGAGCTTGTCCTTGATCGGGAGATGATAGACATTATTCACATACATTATTCACATACACAGTTTCAGAGGAAGATTTGTCAGGCAATGGCGCTCTGGAAAGTGTATCAGCAATAGGAATAGCTGTTCCAGGTAGATACTGAAGATCGAACACATATCGCTGGGTCCTCAGTAGTAATGACTGCAGTCTATTGGGAGCTCTAGACAAGGGCTTCTTGACGATAGACACTTGTGATCAGTGGCTTGTGATCAGTTATCACAGTTACACTTCTACCATATGTGTAATGGTGTAATTTCTCAAGACCAAAGGTCACGGCGAGCATATCCTTTTCTATCTGAGCAAATCTTTGTCAGTGTCAGTTAGCGAGCGACTGGCATAAGCGACAGGCTTTCCCTCCTGCATTAGTACTGAGCCAATGCCATGTTCACACGCATCATTCTCAACTGTCAGCTCTTTCTCTGGATCATAATATGACAATACAGGTGCCTTGGTAACCATGTCCTTCACCTTTTGGATTCAGCTGGTGACACTTCGTGCACTTTTTTCCCCATGCAGGACAACTTTTACGAGCCATGATATGAGAATAACCACAGAATTTACAGTCTCTTTCATGCTGAGATTGAGGTCTCTGACTTCTCGATGGAGAATTCATCTTTTGACTTGAACGAAGAGGCTTCTTTTGCCTTGATCTCAAAGAGTCTATTGCAACTCTATTGATAGGTTCAGGTCTGATCAACTTTGACTGAACTGACGCATTTTCAGTGGCTTTACAGATGTTGATACATCTTTCTAGAGTGAGGTCCCTCTCTTTGAGCAGTGCTTGCTGAGTGTCGGGATCTCTTACTCCAAGGATGAGTCTATCTCTTATTATTGAAGAGATACAATTCTGACAATAGTTGCAGGTTTTCACAAGAGACCGGATTGATCCTAAGAAATTTTCAAATGTCTCTCCTTCCTTCTGTTTTCTGAGATTGAAGACGTATCTCTCATATGTCTCATTAACTTCACCAATAGTAAATGCTTCGAATTTGTCTAGAATTTCTTTGACAGTTCTCTCAGCTTCTGGTGTTTGAAAATGGAATCCATTGAAAACTTTTAAGGCTTCATCACCAAGTGTGTTTAGGAGCAAAGCTACTTGATATTCCCTTCCATATCCTGGCAGGTTCACAAGTATAGAATAATTGGTCCATTTCTGTTTGAATGATTTCCAATTTTCAGCAATGTTGGATTCAATAACAAGGGGTGATGGAGGTTTTATACCACTAACAGGCCGTTGAGCTTGAGGAGGATTGTCGGCCATATTTGAAGACTTGAAGCAAGGCTAGACTATCTTCACACACAATACACACTTGTAGCTAGTTGACATCGACAAATGCAGACAGGAATCTCTTGGGGGTGCAGAATGTCACTCATCAGGTCAAATTAAGCTAACAGATTCAAGTGTTCATTCATTTCAGCGAGTGACATCACTGCTGAGACATTTGAATGATAGCAGACGAACGCACGTGGTCTGAAACACCTCGGCTTCCATTATAACATTTCAGACATAAAACTGACAGAAATAGGTCGTGGTATCATAGAGGAGTGAGAAAGTCACCTGCTGCCACCATGTTACGTGCTGTGTATGCTGTACACATGTCTGGATAGCCATAGCCAACTCAGGTTAAAGCATCAACGTTTATTAGAACTTGCATGGCTGACATACGCCAAGGGAAGCAACTCTTGTCACAAGAGTGCATACCACGTAACAGTAACTATGTGACCTTCCATATTTGCATCTTTATCCGTTTATGACGCCAGACGGAGACCGTTTTGAAACGTTGGCTTTATCCTGCCGAGAAACCTACCCATTATATGATACAGTTGTATATTTATCCCACTGTTTACAGGTGTGACTGACCACCTGTTTGAGAACACGTCTAACCCAGGGGTGAGTCTTGATCTAGTAGCGCTGAACATTCAACGAGGTAGAGATCATGGACTGCCTCCTTATATGGACTTCGTCTACCAGTGGTCCAAAGTACCTGGTATGAAGAATCTCCTTGCTGATGATGTGAATGTACCCAAATGTGCCGTTGGACTGTATGAGTAAGTATGCAACTTTCGTACAAATTCAAGACCGGATAGGTTGGTTGTTTGTTTGTTGTTTAACGCCGCACTCAGCAATATTCCAGCTATATGACATCGGTCTGTAAATAATCGAGTCTGGACCAGTCAATCCTGTGATTCACGTCATGAGCATCAACGCCATTGGGACACGATGACATGCATCAACCAAGTCAGCGAGCCTGATCACCCGACCCCGCTATTCGCCTCTTACGACAAGCATAGTCGACTTTTACGCCAAGCATGTGTTATTGAAGACCTATTCTACCCCGGATCTTCACGGGTCAGACCGGATAGGACAAGTATCCGATGAAAGGCGTGGGATTGCATGAAAAAAATGACATATTTCTGATAATTATAATAAGGTTCTTAATTTGAACATTATTTAGGGACTGCTCATTTTAGGGGAGGGGGGTAAGAAAAGTTATATGCATGATGTTATATTGTGTGTGTGCGCATGTCAAGTTGTTGGGGAATCAGCCAAATATGATCAGTCTTAACACCCGTCTCACTGCCGGACGCCCCACATTGTAACGAGTGAGTGAGTATGGTTTTACGCCGCTTTTAGCAATATTCCAGCAATATCACGGCGGGGGACACCAGACATGGGCTTCACACATTGTACCCATGTCGGGAATCGAACCCGGGTCTTCGGCGTGACGAGCGCACGCTTTTACCACTAGGCTACCTGACCGCCCGTAACGAAGTATTTATCGGAAAATCTTCAGAGTACTGACCCCTTACTTTACCTACCAGAAAATACAATACTTCAAACTAAATAAATATCACCTCTCTTGGTACAACAGATAGAAAAAACATATTCAAAGATGGTGATTTTGCCTATTAATGTTGTACGTCAGGAGTCTGAGCCAAGTTGACTTATTCCTGGGCGGCATGAATGAGAAGCATTTGACGGGAGCTATGGTGGGACCTACGTTTGCTTATATCATCGCCACACAGTTCCATAACCTACGGTACGGGGATCGATTCTGGTATGAAGGACTGGATCCAGATCACGGGTTTACTAAAGGTAGGACGTTTTCTTTGACTTCCATAGCGGCATCAATATAGCCCATAAGGCGTTCGAAACAACAATTCAAGTTGAAATATGTCATGGTCTGTGCTTATTATTTATATAGGAACAAGTATATGAATGCAATTTTATAATTTCAAAATGCTTGTTTATAAGAAGTGGAAGAAGTGCTCCTAAATTTATCTTTCATTCGCGATAATGCGGTCATCAACAAAATGGTGATCTAGCGTAGATTTAATACAGCTGGCAGGCCAATCAGAATTTAGAACCATGCATCCCGAAAGCAATAATTCCACTTCTTTTCGAAACATTAATTTCTTTTCGAAACAGGACATAAATCAACTTTAAGGGGAATAGAATAACGTTCTGAACTTTGAAAAGACTGAATTTGAATTTTATCTCCTAAATGTCGTGATAGAATCAGAATGTTCAAAATGGAAGATGCTTTCCGAACACATACGTTGTTTTTCATTTCAGCACAGATAGATGAAATATGTAAGGTGACCTTGGCTAAAGTGATCTGTGACAACAGCAAAATCAACGATATCCAGCCTGATGTCTTTAAACTTACAGGAGCTGGGTGAGTGTGTAATGGAGTTCAGGGTTTCCACACTTAGGAGTGAGTGAGTTTGGTTTAACGCCGCGTTTAACAGTATTCCAGTTATATCACGGCGTGTCAGCTTAATGTGGGAGGAAAGCCCGAAGTGATGCAGGTCTCAGACGTTTACCACTTCGGTGAAACCCACGAGCACGGGTATGGTGCTGACAAACCTAGAAACATAATCGGGGCGAACCGGGATTAGAACCCACAATCATAGGTTTCTGGCGTGCCCAAGTGACGCAGCTCTGCACAGCGAATCGCGGCGCCTCAGACGACTGGGCCACCCGTGCCCCCTCGACACTTAGGAACTCAAAATAAGCCTCAAATACTTCACCACTACCAAAATCCTTGACCTCTCTATGGTTCTTTAGATACCTAATAAACATATCCATAGTGAGTGAGTATGGTTTTACGCCCGCTTTTAGCAATATTCCAGCAATATCACGTAGGGAGACACCAGAAAGTGGCTTCACACAAAGTACCCATGTCGAGAATCGAACCCGGGTCTTCAGTGTGACGAGCGAACGCTTCAACCACTTGGCTACCCGACCTCCCCTCTTATCAATAGAATGAAGCCTAACAATGAAACATGTGGATGAAGATGAGTTTAATAAAATGAAACATTTTTTATTACAGGAACATGAAAGTGAAGTGCAAAACTCTTCCATCAATCAACCTCCGGAAATGGAAAGACTAAAACCTGTTTGAAATCAGGACTTCCTTCTTCCCAGATCTCCGCTATATCTTCTTGCAGATGAACGTACTCACCCACTCCCAGATCTCCGCTATATCTTCTTGCAGATGAACGTACTCACCCATTCTCAGATCTCCGCTAGGTCTTCCTTCAGATAAACTTGCTAACCCATCATTCCGCCGTCAGTCTTTTATGGGCTGTTCTGGCCGATCTCCGAAATCCAGGGTCCTTCTTCCCATGTTCGTATGTTTTACTTCAAGTCGACATTTCCGTGTGACGTGAAAATTGAATCCCCTCTTTAAAACTTTAACTGACTTGAAAACGCATTCGTATGTCCTTGTGTTTTCCTTGTACATGACCTGTCTTTCCGGCTGATCTCTGTTTTCTAGTGCTTTACGACTAATCCCTTTACTTTCACAAAGATACGAATAAAAGTACCTCTAACGCCATCTTTTCGTTTATCATTGTTGCACATTATACTATAATCAAGTATTTCTTCAAGAAACACGACACAAAAGAATTCTGACAACGAGGGGAAGTTTACCATAATACTCAACCTTTGATTTGTTTGTTTGTTGTTTTACGCCGCACTCAGCAACATTCCAGATATATGACGGAGGTCTGTAAATAATCGAGTCTGACCAAACAATCCAGTGATTGACGTCATGAGCATTGATCTGCGCAATGGGGATACGATGACATGCATCAACCAAGGCAGCGAGCCTGACCACCCTATCCCTTTGTCGCCTCTTACGGCAAGCATGGGTTGCTAAAGACCTATTCTAACCCATGTTCCCGAGGCAAGGAGGTTAACTGACTATAAAAGTCCAGTTTCCACCTTTGCCGAACTACACTGGAATTTCTAGGCTCGATCGTATCGCCACCTGTGGCTATTACGAGTTGTGTCCCTTCTATGCCTCTCCTATGGACCAATCGGATTCCACCTCTTGTATCACTTGCATTTGCTTCAAACAAAATGGCGGCGCACAGTCAAGACGATCTATATTGTGATAAAACGGGTCTTACACCGCAAAGTGTATCAAATCACGTAAGCACCTTGATTAAAAGCATGAAAAGATTTGGAAAATATCTTTTGACGCCGAGTTGCCAAATCCTGCAATCGACCGAATTCTGCCCCACCGTTTACAAACCGGATTTCGATTTCGTTACGCGATTTTGATTGGACTCGTTAGAGAGCCTGAGGGTCGAAGGATCTGGGACCGAGGGTTATCCCGTCCCAGAGTATTTACATTGTAACCCAAACCCGAAGGATATAGTGTTTATCTGACTAATAAACCGAAAGAAATATCTGAAACAACATTTATTAACAAGCTCATGTTTCCCACACTTTTTTCCATGACTTTGAGGGAAATTGACGAAATATATTAATAGTTTACTGGCTTTCCATGTACATGTACTTGTAAAAGAACTTTGGGATTTACAAGCGACTCTGCAGCCTACTGGTTCCCACTTAACCATAAGTAACTCCTGTTCTTTTACATCATTCTGCACATTTCTTAAGTCAGCATTGTAATGTGTTGTATGAAGATTGTGTTCAATACAAAAATGGCTGCCGATCGATCACCCACTGGAGCTGTAAAACATATCGATACTTCCCCTATTACAAGCTGGGTTTCTAATTAAAAAAAAGGCTTTTTACATGACAACATGTTTACAAACCTTTTCGTGATCGATATTCACAGCCATCTCCGTCAACCACCACCGTAGGATTTGGCAGGTGGGGATTTGAAAACAATGTCCCGAGTTCACTGAAAGTGAAGTCACAGTACAGGAACTTGATCATAACAACTTATCAAACTTGATTAAATTCATTTCAGAACACACACAATTTAGCAAATCATACACCAACTACTGACTTTGGGCCACAACTGTCACATTTCATTCACGCGCTGAATGCGGTGAAATCTTGATATTAACAGGTCAATTCAAATCCCTCCTGTCAAAATAGCCTGAAAAAGTGATGCTACAGTTTCATTGGCAATCACGCTGTACCACCTCATATCCACCATTAACGTGTAGATTTACTGGGAATGAGCCCGTTAGTACAATGGGATTGCCAGTAGAGCTGGAGCACGACCGGTTGTCATCTTGCTTCGTGTTACTTGTCTGAAGCACACAAAAGACATTGGCAGCCATTGACGGTTGTGAGTAACGGCATTTATTTGGAATTTGTATTATTGACTGGGGGTAATTGCTAACTCTTTCCTGAGACTTACACATTTCAAATGAATAGTAGGCAGTTAATGCACAAAGTCTGATGGAGTATAAATTCGTTCAGCATGTTTTAAAACGCTGATATTTCTTCAACCTGTCACCCTACAATGCGAAATGGCATATTCGATTTACAAGAAAATGACGCGGTGGGTGCAAACAGTGCACAGCAGATTGCAATGAAATTAAAACATATATCATTGGATTCAGTTTTAAGGGTTATTTGTCAAGTTTGTTTTGACAAACTTTGTGTTTTGAACCCTTTTTTGAACTGGTCAAGACTATGTGTATTTTAATGTTGAACTTTAGTGATATTTGTTACATTTATAACCAACCTGTACCCGTTTTTCAAAGCGTTTTCAAAGCGCTCTTGCTGCAATGTTAGAGAGGGATACACCTACTGTGTTTTGAAATTTGATGTAGCCCCACAGTAGAGCATCTACCGCTTATTTATACATTTGAAACATCTCCCTAAAGCGCTCGGTTTCAAATTAGGTTTATATCCCAGGCATTCAACCCTAACTGGGCACTCAAAATATCCCTGTCAATAGATGAGTATAACATACTCTGTGTACCATACATCTTCTCTTACGATCGTCGTTTGAAGCAAGAAGGTGGATCCTGGCGGTGGTGGCGGTTGTTGTTATGGTTATAGCACGGCTTTCCCAGCTATTGCACCACTGCTGAATATGTAAACCAGCATGCCGGCATATGACGTCATATAATCGTGGAGCATGGAAGATGGGGCAATAAAGGTCGCCCTGCTTCATAGCTGATGCCAACCTCTCCTCCACGTTTAAGTTAATTTTACCAATTATTGACGTAGTCCTAGAGTTATACTTTGTGTAATCAATTTTCTTGTTAAACTCGCTACATTAAGCTTGCTTTTTGTGTTTCATATGTGAGTAAGTGAGTGTTTGGTTAATGGTGCTTTGAAGAGTATTTCAGTTATATTACGGGGTCTCAGCTTAATGTGGGTGTAGAACCTGAAGGGTGAGGTGAGGTGAAATTGGGTTTAACGTCGCGTCCAAGATTATTGCACTTATATAGCGACGTGCATGCACGTGTATGTGTGTGTGTGGCTGCTTGTACTAGTCCGGACTGATGCCGATTTATAGTGCTAGCTCACTGAGATACCATGCCGCAGTTTTACTATGAATACCCCACTCAGACACAGTATACTGACTCCGAGCCGACCAGTCCTTGTTTTAGCCCCTTAATGCCGAGCGCCAGACAGGGTAACAACAAGTACAATCTTTTAACGTCTTTTTGTATGACGCGGCCTGGGATCGAACCCTGGACCTTCCGCTCTCCGGGCGGACGCTCTACCACAAGACCACGGAGGCGGTCGAGAACCTGAAGGGCTAATATGGGATTCGAACACACAATCAAACGTTTCTGGTACATCTAAGGGTTTCAACTCTGCCATTGCGGCGCCTTAAACGTGTGGGCCGTCAATGTCATTGTACTTACTCTGAGGTCAAATGTCAAACCGAAAACCCCAGATGGCACCGTATATGTCCTCAATGTGGGTGGAGGAGTTTGTGTGCAGGAGAGAAAGCCACATCGTTACTGCTCAACGTTACATGGATGACATTCGTCTTGATCGTCCGATTGTCCCACCATTTCTACAACAGCTGCCACGTGGTGTCCTTTATCAGTATGACAACGCCACACTCATACAGCCCGAATCGTGCAGAACGTCCATGCAGCTAACAACGTCAAGGTTGTGCCGTGGCCTGCACGATCCCCAGACATGTCCCCCATAGAAAACCTGGATGTCACGTATCGTCCTGTTCGACAGCGACCACTTCCTCCAGCGAACCGACAGGAGCTGGTCCAGGCCCTCCAACAAGAAACGGCGACGTATGTCACGTGACGCCATCAGACGACTTGTTTGCGTCTCTTGTGTCAGGGGATGGCCACACGCTATTAATGTGACGTGTCATTGAACTTGAGCGATTTTAGATGGGTCTGCCCTTTGTCCATTACGTTGAAAGCTTGGTTTTGCTACCGTACCTCAGATGCTGTAGGGGCGGTCTGGTAGCCTAGTGGTCAAAGCGTTCGATCGTCACGCCGAAGACGCGGGTTCGAGTCCCGACATTGGTACAATGTGTGAAGCCAATTTCTGGTGTTCCCCGCCGTGATATTGCTGGAATATTACTAAAAGCGACGCAAAGCCATACTCACTCACTCAGATACTGTATGACTGTCATTTTAAATGTTGATTTCCTTTAGAATCTGATCTTTTCAATACATTTTACTTCACGAATCTGTCTTTTGTGGTTTTTAAACTAGAGTTATTTAAAACTATGGTAAAGGTTCTTTTGGCCGTCAGTTTATGATAAGGGGAAAGTGGTGTTCAAAGTGAATCACAGTGAATGTAGGCACCTAAAGGTGGGCCGTTGTATAATGTCAAATTAATACTTGTCAACTTTTGATGTGTTTGAAGTATGTTTCTGTTAAACTCAATAGGATTATGCTGTGGATCGTGTAGATGTCTGCCTATTCACACACGACAGTGACATTCTAAAAAAAGTTTTAAATGGCAAGTAATGAATAAAATATTTAACTCGCTCCCGTCTAATACCAATTTTATGAAACTCGTTCGTCAGATATCAGATAAACTATTCACTCATTTCGTAAGATCTGTTTTACAGAGGAGCGAGTTATTTTATATATGATACACAGTTCTGATTATGTTACCGGAAATATCATATGTCACGAAGTTTAATCAAATATACCATACTGTTATCTGAACATTATGTCATTAACGAACGGATGGCGGAGGCTTCCCAACCTAATTTGTTTCAATGTCTACAACGGTCACATGAGCTTGTAAGCTCTGCCTTAACTTTAGGTCAAGACTCGATAGTTAACAGGCCGCCATCTTATGACATGTACACTGCATTGCGGCATCAGCGTCACAACATATTATTATACTAATTGTGTGAGAAGCTGGCGGTACATTTTGTTTGTTTGTTTGTTTGTTGAACGCCGCAATATTCCAGCTATATGACGGCGGTCTGAAGATAATCGAATCTGGACCAGATAATCCTGTGATTGTTATCATGAGCATCGATCCAATGACATGCATCCAAGTCAGCGAGCCTGACAACCCGATGCCGTTAGTTGCCTTTTACGACAAGCATAATCGCCTTTTACAGCAATGGGTTGCCGAAGACCTGTACTACCCCGTATCTTCTCGGGTTAGCTG